AACATTTACATAATACTCATGAAAATGTTTGAAATCATATTATTTAGTAATAATATAAATGTTTATTATTTATAGTTAAAACATTATTAATGTATATCGACTTATTATTTAGATTCACAACAAATAAATTTAATCCTAAAGCAATAATGTTTATAATTAACAAAGCTGTAGGTACCAACATTCCGTCTGTGCCTAGCGAGGTTGTTATCTAAATCAACCGCACTAGGAACAGCGTGACATAATTTTTTAACAGCGATAAGTTCAATGTCGAGCGTTTTGATAGGAACACAAGCAGACCTCATTTTAATAACGATATTATAATAATTATTTTTATTTTACATTAAACAAAGGGCATCGAGGATTTAGTGGAAGAATACCAGCAGTATAAAGAAGCAGCTAAACGCTGCTGTATTTCGTATGGTGGGTGTAGAGAACCGAAAACCCTTATTTATTTCAAATGATGTACCTATTCCATCTTAGTCCTCAGAGGTGACAACACATCTGCATTTTGGGTCTTATTTGAGGATAGATGTAGAGGTCTATGGGCCACAGCGTCCACTTAACATCAGGTGGGCTGTTTTTTATTATTATTGTTTATTTATTTAAAACTTCATATACACATGTGGTATATAGGCGGACTTAACGCCTAAGGCATTCTCTACCAGTCTACCTTGGGATGATGCAGAGATAGAATGAAGTAGGTGTAATAAAGTAATGTAGTTTTTTCGCAACATTAAGCTGCTATTTTATGTCGGTATTCTGTGAGGGCGTGGTCCTACCCCGATCGAGCCGACCCATTCGTGCTACAACCATAATATAGCTGCAGTGACCAACGTGGCTCTACCATGAATAATTTTTTTTATTATTGCTTTATTAGCATTATTGTTATTTAATTTAACATGTAAGTTATTTTAGGTAGTAGAGCATCGCCGCAGCTAGATGGCTACGCCACGAATGGGTCGGCTCGATCGGGGTAGGACCACGCTATTACAGGATACCAGTGTAGAACAGCACAAAAATGCAGCTGTTTCGTATGGTGAGTGGAGGGAACCGTAGAGCATGTTTACTGGTAACGAGGCATTCCATATTAGTCCTCAGGGGTGACAACGCATCTGCATTTTGATTATTAATCGAGGATAGATGTAGTTGGCCCATACCATATCTACTTTACTATCAGGTGGATTGTGTGCTCGCTTGTCGACCTTATTCTAGTAAAAATATATACAAACATAATATAAAATGAGGGGGTATAATATGATTTAAAAATTTGCTAAAAGTTTTGACTTTTTTGTTCAAAGGTTTCTGACAAAAAAAAAAAGACTTAATGTGCTGGGCACAGCTAGTAATAATTATAAAAAAGGCCGATGGTAGCGTAGTAGGTTAATTGCATAATAGAGCTATTCGAAATCTTTGCAGTTAATTGATCTTTTAGATTTATAGCTGTAAAAATAAGTAAACGATTTCCGTAATTTGGCAACCTCCACTTCATGCCTTGATGAATTTTAGGGTCATTGTACGAGTAGTAACTACTTGCAGAGGCAGGTGATACCAATAGAATTGTTTAGATCAGGAATTTATAAATTTTAACATATTTTATTGACTGAATTCAAAAAGTAAAGGTGTTAGCTTATTAGTTCGTAAAATACAGTCGTATTTAAAAAATAATATTAAGTAGAATTATATTTTATAGCTCTGAGATTTAAATCGATTCATTTTAATTTTATACTTAAGTGCATAACTAAAATAAAAATAATATTGATGAGTTTATTTTTATCCCTTTCTTTTTATTTCCCTTTTATACTATGGAAAACTGTTCGTTTACAAATCTTTGAATTTCAACAAGACGCCAATAACAGGTTCTCACTAATAGATCATTTTTATCTATATTGTAACAATGTTTACTGCATTATAATTAAAATGTACACTGCACCATATTCGCATATATCGTTAATAAACTATAATGGTTTAAATAATTACGCTACATAATACGAACCGAGTTAATATAAGAATAACATAGTAAAAGAAATACCAAGTAAGTACAGTTGAACGCATAATTTACGATCGGAAACATACATCCTTACCGTCATCTGTAAACGCGCGCGGTGTAAATCTGCCTCACTGCCAATATTTCCTCGACGAATAAGGAATGCCTAGGGTTTCCAAACGTTTCCTACTTTCTCGGACGTGTATTTTCATCATCATCATTATCACCATCGCCATCATCATTATATTGTATCAAAGTCCACTACTGAACATAGACCTTCCCAAAAATTGCCTCATAGTTGCCACACTTGACGGTCGCCACATCCGCATCAAGTAAAGTTACTGTGATCTCATTGCTAGTCACATGCCGCCTCTCATGTTCCTCTGTGTGGAATATGGAGCGGACGTCACATGTCTTTGAATTTTTTTTAACGTGCAGATTTCTTCATGACGTTTTTTCACCAACTAACTAGTTTTTTTTTATAGGTTAGGGTGACCAACGAGCACACAGTCCACCTGATGGTAAGTGGTTGCTGTGACCCATAGAGATCTACATCTATCTTCAATAAAGAATCAAAATGCAAATGCGTTGTCACCCGTGAGGACTAAGATGGAATGCCCCGTTTCCAGTAAAAAGGGTCTTCGGTTCTCTACACTCGCCATACGAAACACAGCAGTGTTAATCTGCTATTTTACGCTGGTATTCTGTGAGAGCGTGGTCCATACTACTAATATAGCTGCAGCATGACTCTACCACGTCTAATAATAAGTAATAATAGTTCGAAATCAGTACTTAAAAGTTGCAATTAACGATTTCGGGAACTCAGGTTGCTCGTGTTCTTTGAAATCTAGCCCCTAAGCTACCGTGGTTCTACAATATACGGTTTTTATATTCCTTATACCACATTTAGAAGAACTTATAAGCCATGGAGGGAGACGATGCATGCAGTTGAGTCAGACCGTATTTATGGCAGTCTTTCGGAAATGTCTAAATTTAGCCATATACGTGGTAGAGCCATATTGCAGCTATGTAGCAGTCGGCTCAACCGGGGAAGAACCATGCTCTCACAGAATACCAGCGTGAAATAACAGCTGTACGTTGCTGTGTTTCGTATGGTGAGTGTAGAGAACCGGAGACCCTTTTTACTGGAAACGAGGCATTCCATCTTAGTCCTTACAGGTGACAACGCATCTGCATTTTGATTCATAATCGGAGATAAATGTAGATGTCTATGGACCACAGCAATCATTTACCATCAGGTGGACTGTGTGCTCGTTTGTCACCCTTATACTATAAAAAAAATCTGTGTGAATCTAAATAAAATAGATGCTTTTTGACTTCATTATGGCATTTAATCTGACTTCCTAAATATATTGATAAAACCTATCTATGAGTTAATGTCTCTTGAAAGTTCAGAGGAAATCTGGCAACTCCAATCGCTTCTAAGCAAGCAAGCGATTAATCATCTACTCGCGTGCAGGAGCGGAAGCGAGCAGTGTGGCGAACACGTCGCCGGCGTGCGTTGTGATTCCCTTAAGTTTGGAAGTTATTAGGCGTATCGTGTAGTTGCACGGATGATAGCGGAGCGATTTTTGCCATTTAAAAAATTTCATGTGATCTGTCCGGTTTGACCTTTTGTATTTGCATTAATACGTGTTTAAAATTATAATTTAAAATTTAAAATTTTGTACAGCCGACTTCAATATAAAAAATAACTCAAAAACTATTTGTTTGACCTTGATCAAATTCATATGGGACCACATGAGAAATACCAGCTTTCAAATAAAAAAAGAATCATCGAATTCGGTTCACCCAGTAAAAAGTTATGAGGTAACAAACATAAAAAAAACATACAGTTGAATTGAGTACCGTCTCCTTTTTGGAAGTCGGCAGAAAAGTAACAAAATGTTTTAAAAGTTAATATCTCTATAGTTCCAGTTATAGACTGAGCCGCCAGCTTCTACTTTATCGCCCGTACTCCCGTACAACTTGATTTATACATGTCTGTCTCATTCTAGAAATAATTATTTGGCAATCATTACACTTGGCAGGCAGATTGGCGTATTTGAGATGGCGAAACACCATTTTTTTTGAAGACCATGTGGTTTTCTGCCTTTTTTAAAGATAGATTATTTTACGCCGCCTCCACAAAGCATTGCGCCGATCAGATGTTCCTCATGTTTTAAGAAATTATGATAATTTCTTCTGGTAATTTCCCTAGATTTTCATATTCGACGAAAAAATGAGAACCAAGAAACTGACATAATTCAGCAGCATAGAGCGCTTGGCCTCATGTTTATGTATTATACATAAAAGAAACTAACTACGAACTCTATAACACTGAAGATGTTTGTTAATGCATACTTCATCAAAACTTCGAAGGAATCGCCTAAACAACTGCGGAGTGCGGACAGGTTGACAGTGTTATTATACCTTTTAACCGTTGTGTGCAATTGGTGTATTTTTCTTCATGATTACTTCCAACCGCTTCCGCGTACACAGAGGGCGCAATACGTGCGTAACGGTGCAATGCGATTACGAAAGCGATAGCGCAAGCGACGACCGACGCCACAAACTGACAGTCGATCCACGACGCCGTCGGTGTCGCTCGTGTCGCGTACCAAAGTACCAAGCATGTTAATACACGCACGTCACTACTCACTCGATAAACAACCCCATTGTCAACATACCTATCGATGTTTACAAATAAATATTACTGTTATTTGATCACTTGGCGATTGTTAACGTAATTCTATTGTCACCGTAGAGAATAGTTGGCCAAGCAGTGACGCTTGAAAGTGGAAATTAACGATAAGATTAATCGTGAGGGCATTTTATCGCGGACTTTACGGAGTGCAGTGCAAAAATTGCGTCCTTCCTTTCTATTCGAGTGTTGCATTATTGTTTTTTTTCTATACGATCAAGACAAATGTTGAAACACGGAGGTTATTTGTTTAAATCGCTATAATGCAAAGTAGTAATATATTCATAATATATTTGGTAATAAACTGGAGCAATGGGTAACAAAACGAAGCATACTACACCAGATAACAGTGATGAGGAAAGTGGAGACGCCTTCACCGATGGTGATTTCGGTGATTCCGATGAAGAGACAGTTGTAGAACGGTCAGATGTTTCTAAAGCTGGTCAATTGCCTGTCAATGAGACGGTAAACACCAGTGTCAGAACTGTAAATGATAGTGAAGTAAATGAAGAAACAGTATGTGTAACTAATGGAAATGGGGATGCTGAAGATAATACTGAAAATTTAGAAAATGGACACGGCTCTCACTCGGACGAGTTGGACAATTACGTGGATCTTGTCCTAACGGACGCACGAGACGATTCTTATAGCGAAATCAATCCGTCAATAGTTGGGATTCTCGGCGACCAGCACTCCCATGTACGTATTAAGAAATCATACTTTATAACTTTTCTATACACGGTTCTAATGTTAGATATCCATCCATATCCTAAAAATGCAGGCACTAATACGTTTCTTTTTATAAACGATAACAGAAAAATGAGCGTTCTAATAGGTTTACATATTTATTATTGCGTCACATATTTGTCTAATCGATAAAGAATTTCTTCTTTGTGATTCTTGAGTCACCTAATACTTATTCGATGATTCAAAAAATATAAAAACAACAAAAAGAGATAATGTCTTTGTTGATTTCCATATTTGATATCATGGAATTGGGTTAGTTTTTAGTCAAGATCGGCTTTATCTTATCTAATTCCATCCAGCAGCAGCCTTCTCAAAAAATTCGGTTTTTCTCATTATAAAGTTATCTTGCTCTTCTACGTGATTGTTTGTTTTATAAATCAGTTACGAAACAGTAGGTTTAAACTTGTAAAACGCAAATATAACACCTTCGACGTCTAATTCACCGTCATTCTTTTTATTTACATTAAATTACGAATTCGTGACGGCTCTGTTTGTTTTCACTGTCGCGTAACACCAAGTGTTTTAGTTACACAGTGTAGTTCGTAACTTGCCGTAACGTGGTTTGTGGTGAAGTGGCCTTGTGGTAGAATTCAGTGTAACTGGTGTGTGGTGAAGGCTATTTAACCTTTTTATATTTAACTGTAATAGTTTAATTTTTAAGATTTCAATTTGGCGCTAGACAAACAATACTGTTGTATATTATATAAGATATTTTAAAGAATAGCAAGTGCGTCGTCAGTGCACGTGCGACGTCAGCGGATAACACTGGTGTTGAATGTAGTGCACGGCAACCTCGACTTTGTGGCATGCTGACAGTAGAGCTACTAATTCGAACAGCTGCCAGGTTGCTCCTGCTCTACGTGAGTATTTGTTGTTTGTTCATAAAGTTGAATTTTGTATACACTACTTATGAAAAAACAAGTAAAACTTTGCATTTCGTCATCTTTATCTTTTGTAATCGTTTTAGCAAGTGTACACATATGTACGCTTTTGAGTTTGTTTGCGTGTGCGTGTCGCCTTCCTGTTAGAATGATGTCATCGACTTTTATGAGTTTTTAGAGCCTTCAGTTCTTACATAAATAGCAGTATACCATAAACGTATACTTCTTAACCTCCTAATATATAAAAATAATGTTTGTTCCTTCGTATTTTATGCGCTGCCATACCGTTCATCAGCTTGCGGTAATACTTAACTTATTGGTTGCACTTGTGCGATGGTTATAGATATAGTACAATTAACTTACTGTAGGTGGCATATCGTACCGACAAATTTATTTGAAAGTTATATATCATTCAATTTCAATGAATGTATTATCAGTCCTAATTAAACAGTATTCTCGTAACTCTTCCAAATATGAAACAATATTTCTAAAATTATTTCTTCTGCGGCTGCAATGCGCCTAATAATTAATAAAAAATGTTACAGATTGCCAAAACACTATTGTCATTATGGCTATTATGATATTAATTCGTTATAGCTCAATTGAGCATAAAGATAATGTAATCCTTTAGTAGAGTAGGTACCACCCTTTTACCTATTTCCGTATCCAAGCAGCAGTGCCTGTATTGCTGTGCTCCCATCCGAAAGGTATAAACAATAGAGATCGAGTATAATTACAGGATGTGTGATATTCCATCTTGGTCCTCGGAAGTGACAAAAGATCTGTAGCCTGCTTTGTTTGAAGTTAGCTGCAGGTGTACATAGAGTGCAGTAGCCGCTTACCGTTACGGTGGACGGTGAGTTCGTTTGAAGTGACAGTTTTATTAAAGAAGCTGTAGTCAAGCCTTTTTACTGACTCAGTAAGGGGGCTGGTATTTTATACTTTAAATTTCGGTTGACACTTCATACTTGCCGCTCGCCACCCGGCCTCTACATTATTCTTCTTAGCGTTTTATGACACCAATGGAACTCGAGTTGATTGGTTCTGTTACGTCGATATATAACAGCAAAGAATCATGTAGGTATTTAGTAACGTGTAATTAATGTCCAGAAAAGCTAATTTTCCGATAATTTTTTTTTATAGAATAAGGGTGACAAACGAGCACACAGTCCACCTGATGGGTGGGTTGGTGCTGTGGCACATGGACATCTACATCTGTCCTCAATTAAGAATCAAAATGCAGATGCGTTGTCACCCCTGAGAACTGAGATGGAATGCCTCGTTTCCAGTAAAAAGGGTCTCCGGTTCTCCATACTCACCACACGAAACACAGCAGCATTAAGCTCGAACCCCGAACGACCAACTATAATATAGCTGCAGCATGACTCTACCACGTAGATATATTTATGACACCAATGGAACTCGAGTTGAATGGTTCTGTTACGTCGATACCTAACAGCAAAAAATCATGTAGGTATTTAGTAACGTGTAATTATTGTCAAGAAAAGCTAATTTTCCGGTTAAGTTTCATCATACTTCCTCCCTTCCCTTGGAAAACGTCGTTAAAATGCAAATCACGCGTGTGAATGGCGAATAACGTGCATAAGCCATCTGTTGTAACAAGTTTGATCGTCTGAGTGTCTATGTCTAGACGTATAACTTATTAGTACTAAAAGTTTCTATGTATTGAAAATTCCATTCGTATTTTACATAAACCTCTTTCTTTTTCTTACGTAGTAGGTGGTAGAGGCATGCTGCAGCTATATTGTGGTTGCAGCACGAATGGGTCAGCTCGATCGGGGTAGGGCCACACTCTCACAGAATACCAGCGTAAAATAGCAGCTTAACGCTGCTGTGTTTCGTATGGGGAGTGTAGAGAACCGGAGACACTTTTTACAGGAAACGAGGCATTTCATCTCAGTTCTCAGGGTTGACAACGCATCTGCATTTTAGTTCTTAATTGAGGATAGATGTAGATGTCTATGGGCCACAGCATCCACTTACCATCAGGTGGACTGTGTGCTCGCTTGTCACTCTTATACTATTAAAAAAATGCTTAACCGACAAGCATGTACGCTTAGATATATGGATGTGAAAGGAGCGAGAGAGATAGATATTTCAGGATCATGGCAAAGGGAAGTTTGTAGTCTCTATCTAGCACTATGAGTGACAGGCGTGCTATTTTATGAAAGTACGTATGTACTATATTATCATCTAGGAATTCCGCATGCAAGAAATCGATTAATGCAGATGGCTCGGGACTATAGGGGAGGCCTATGTTTAGCAGTGAACTTGTGAAGGGCTATAATGATAATACTGACGATCACTTATCATCTAGGGCTTTATCATCCAGAGTTGCAAGCACTGACTTATAATGACTTGTTCTGGTGATTCAGGATTCATAATACAGGGTTATTTTTCAAAGAGTAGCCAAATTTTAAATTTAAGTTCAAATATATAAATAATGATGTAACGTTATTGCAGTTTAAAAATGCGACCTAAATAAGGCTTTCTTGTTTAATTTCACTTTTATTTGAAATTATCCCAAATTGAATGTGACTTATGGGCGACGTTTTTGCCCACCGATATCGACCCTTACGAATGTGTGCGTGCGCAGTAAAATCAGTTAAAATAATGCATTACCACTCATTTTGAATTTAAATTTTTAATTTTTTAAAGTAATTTTCCCCACCATTTGCCTACGTTACTTATTCGGAACCTTCCCTGCAAATTTGGCCAGTTATTGCAAAATAATCGTGTATACATTTAAAGTAAAGTCTATTTCACATCGTATTTCCTAAGTTTCAGTTTAAACATTCTTTCTCAAATTACCGCTGAATAATGTTAGTAGTTTTATTTCTTCTAAGGCATTAATTAAACGAAGCGGAATTCGAAACGGCTACTTCACTTTGCAAGCTCTAACCATGTAATTAAAAAAAATTTAACCAGAATTATAGTTGCAATTCTAAATAACTTTATATTTAAACACAGTACTACACACTAGTCTACTTGTAGTATAAAAGAAGTAGTATCGAAACCTACCGTTATTCTTTTCAACCGACTTCAAAAAAATGAGGAGGTTCTCAATTCGACTGGTTTTTTTTGTTATGTATGTTACCTCAGAACTTTTTTCTAGGTGAACAGATTTTGATGATTCTTTTTTTATTTGAGAGCTGGTGCTTCTCATGTGGTTGCATATACATTTTGTCAAGATCTGACCAGTAGTTTTTCAGTTATCTTTAATAATGAGTATTTTATTAACTTTGACTACATTGATGATGTTCTCATTTTATTTATATTGAAGTCAGTTGTACAACATTTTTAATATTACCGCTTATCATAAAAACGAAGGAGCAATCATATAAGAAGTGAAGAATTTGTCGCAATTTTTTGTTTCAATTAGGTATTGAACCCGGGACCCAAAACTATGCAAACAAGTACACAATACTAAATCAAGGCCAAGGTGCTTATTAAATATATTGTGGAATAAAACTTTTATAATATGTTACACTGCAGAGCACAGGCCTCCTCTCATTGGGAGGGTGTGGCGCAGCAGAAGCCGGGGCGGATCGCTAGTTATATATAAAGATGATAATCACCAATTAGTTTTATTATTCACTAAGTATTTTTATTGCCGCAATACGAGTAGCTGTAAGTAATTTGAAAAAATTATAAAAGACATTAACAAATATGCAAGGCTTGCTGGTCCATTTGTGCCGCTCATATTCTGCCGACCACACCTGAACACGATACAATAATGTCATTAGTTGCCATTGTAGATATACCACGGGCATTGTGTGGCCCTTTTCTGAATAGTATAATGTTTCGGTAATTCTTTCTATCGAAAGAGATACAAAAAAAGTTTGCTAGGTTAACAAATCGGCCCTCGGCCATAAATTCTATATAACGCGAGCAATTTTTTTTTTTATAGAAATGACGGTGATAAATGAGCACACAGTCCACCCCATAGAAGTGGGTGCTGTAGCGAATAGACACCTTTATCTATACATAATTAAGCATCAAAATGCAGATGTGTCAACTCAGTATCCATTAGTACTAAGGGTGAATGAC